GTTTTAGACCTAAAGAGGTTTATGAAAGATCTATATAAATTTACAAAGTAGCAGGAAAATAATTAAATTGACTAAAAGGAATAAATTATTGAAAAAGTTCTAAAAATGTAACTAGATTGATAAGTTTGAATGTGAAAAGTAAAATGAGATTATGACAGTACAAATAATTTGATAAAATCTGCAATTACAAGGTGTGTTAAAATATGCATCCTATAAGCAATCTTTTGAAATACATTAGTGAAAATTTAAGGTTTTCATATTAACATATTTATCAGCAGTAGTAATGGTCCAAATCAAGTTTAAGGTTTTATTTTGATTATTCATATTAAAAATTTTGAAAAGTGAACAGCAACTTGAATAAGATTAGGTTATTTTTTACCAAATTAGAAATTAGGACTTGCTCTTAAAGTAGAATAAATTAATTATTTAGGTGATATTGCCTAGATTACTTATTTAACTTAATAGAAATATTAAATTTATATTTAAAAGTTCAAACTTGAGTTAATATTAAATAAGGATGATTTACATTAATATTATTATTAACATTTATCAAACTTAAACAAAAAATAATCTCAAAACAAAAGGGTTTCAATTATATTGATAAAAAGCCCTAAATTTTTGTTGAATTATATAATTTGAAAAACAATATAAATATAACTTTTATTATAGATTGTTATAAAGTGAAAGTATTATAATTATGAATAAATTAAAAAATAAATTCATAATAACAATCTATTCAGAAACTAAAGAATTTGGTGTCTCGATAGTGTTTTTTTTTTAAATCAAAATGGTCCTTGGAGCTATTCTTGATATGAAAATAATCTAAAATTCTAGACAATTGGCTCTTCTAACCATTAGATAATGAACAAATTATTAAATTTGTTGGTTCACAAATAGAAAGACATATTAATTTTGATTGAAGTTTCTTAACATCAAACAAATTACCATGATTCTTTACAATGATAAGTCCTAAAAATCGATCTAATTAAATACATTAAAGGATTTAAATTCAAAATTTATTCACTTCAATTTACAATTCATTTGTTTATATTATATCAATAAGATGTCTTTTTTTTGACTAAGAATTATCAAAAATAAAATTAATAACTAATAAATGAAATTCTTGATTTTGAGGTTTAATTTATAGATGGTAAGGATAGAAAGAAGAACCATTCCTTTGATTTAGACCTAGAATTAAATATTCTACAATAAGTGAAAATTGATATCTTTAGTAAGGTTAGAATCTCAAAATTATATGTATCTTGTTGAAATTAGAATGCCACTTCTAAAATCCAAGTATAATATAAATAAGAAAGAAATTTCTATAAATATGGCACAATTTTAATTAAGGTAAATATTTTCACACAAAAATTGATGTTTATTCATATAGTATGTATGAGCGATTTTTAATTCCAGTAAAAATTAATATCTTTTCTAGATAAAGATTTTTTAATTTGTGCATTTGCGATAAAGGATTACTCATCAATAAAATGTTGATCTAAGCAGTCTCCTACATCTAATTCTTATATGGATCAGAAAACATCAATAATGTAATAATGTGACTAGATCTACTGATGCAGGATCTATTCCTAATTGCTATAATTCAGAGCGAGCATTTTAACAATAATTATGCTCTAAACTATTTTACTTGTCTATAATTCATGAAACACTATTCCTACTCATTAAATATCTTATTTATTTGTGTCAATAAAACCTGCAATTATCTCCGGTACTCAATTAAGAGGTGCTCGATCAAATCTACAATTATCTTTTCCAAATATTGCCTATTTAACGCTGAATGAATATGGTATAAACCTTAAGTTTAATCTAAAAATTATGCTAAGCATCAATATTAGATATACTAAAAAATTCAAAAGCGAAAAACCACTATGTGGACAAATTATTTTAGGATTGGTAATGCATAGTCCTTGATAATTGAGGATTTTCAAAATCTATTTTCCCTTGCAATTACATAAAGTTATCTATGGCACCTTCAGCTAACCTTTAAAATTTATATTGGTTAAATTTTAATATCCTCAATAATATCATAGTCCTTCCAATATGCAGAACCAACTTAATGGAAAGATAGACTATGATTAAAATATGACAGACAATTAAATTTCCCTAATATAGTAGTAATAGGTAGACGGTTTAGAAAATCTTATCTCACTTGCACCTTGGATTAAATTAACCTACTAAGATATTAAATGTTATCCATGTGGTCCCACCATGGTATGGAAATAATTTAGAAATAACAGATGTCCTTGTTTTTTATTAATCTTTTAATCTAATCACTTAGCTGATGGCTTTGTTAATATTTAAAGTATTAGAGGTATTTGTATTCTTCCAAAGTATAGTATTTACAGATCAATGGGCTACATTATTTAGCGATAAACATTGAATCGATTTTAATTCTTAAAATTGAACATGCTGCGAATTATTGTGACTTGATTATTCGTCAACTTATCTTTATTTCCTCTTAACGATGATATCAACATCGAAGTTCTGGATTTTTCAAAGTTTTATTGAATTAGCTAAGATTTTTCTTTTCCAGTTCCGTTTTCTTATGTTCTTTTATAAGAAATAGTAGTTTTTGGTAATCTGAGAAATAATGATCCTCTTTATACTTTATTGATTTTTATTGTCAATAGGGCTTGACTAGAGGTGTATTTATTTAAAGTCTGAAGAGTTGGTTAATCTAAATTCTATCTATTATTCTACTATTAATAATTTAATAAAAATTTAAATTAAAAAGATTGAAAGAAGCATTAAGGAAAGTTGATAAAATGAATGGGGTAGTGTTAGAGTAAGAAAAATAAAATAGAATTGAATTAGAAAAAGTATATTTATAATATTATTTTTAGATTTAATAATATAACGAATCATTATAATTTTCAAATACTTATAAGTCTGGTAATTGTTAAGTAACTGAAGGTGCAAAATTAGTGGCAGAAGTTAGTAATAGTGGTAGTTGGTATTTTTGTCTTTTTGAATAAGCAATTCCAAAGACTGGGAAAATATAGTTTGCATTCTAAATACTTAATGGATCATATTTTATGGTTGGAATTGGATTTAGAGAGATTATATAGAAAAATAATTACGTAAGTTGTTATTAAACTGGGTATGGGTATATAATTATATTATTTATAGAACATATTTAATATCATAAGGTGGTTGTACTTATTCTCATCATAACAAAGAGATATATGGTAAGTAATTATCATTTACATTTACAAATTATGATATAATAATAATTGAAGTATGTATTGAACATAAATACATTAAATGGAGTAGATAGAATAATCCATAAGCAACATGTGTTGTAAATATAATAAAGATTATTAGTAGTTGGATATAGATACATCATAACAATTATATCCATGTGTTGTTATTGCTCATAACTCTAAAATAAAATTGTTGGAGAATATACCAGTTTGATAATGAATGATAGAAATATATTAATGTGTTTATTTATATCATTCAATATAAGATGTGTTTATTTCAAATTATTAATATAATTCCAATTTTATTGTATCACTTTAAATCATTTGGGAATCTCCTCTAATAACAACAAACTCTTACAATACAATTACATCTTAAATAATAACATTCTTTCTATCCAATCTAATCAATATATTAAAATACAACTCACATTTGTTCTAATCAAATTTTATTTTTTTGAAATTAAAATTCAAAACGAATTAACTGTCAAAATATCATTTTCCTTTCTTTTTTAACTGGATAATTTTAATATTTTATCGCTTTATTTTTCTTAGAATATTAAAAGATTTGTTATTAGTCGTTAGATCCGTTAAATTATTGTATAAATTTCCTTTCATCTATTTTTAAATGAAGTAAAAAAGGGTAAGAAATATGTAATTTTTGTTTT